CTTAATGACCATAAAACTGGCACTTTACTGTCCACCTCTAACAATGCAAGAATTCATTTACTCTCTTAACTAATAGGTCTCAAAAACCAAAAGGATAACTTAGGACTGGAAATCCCTCTAGCATTTTAGCTTTGGAATAGTGAGTGTTCTTTCACTTAATGAGAGTGCAGTAGAAGATATAAGGCAACACTGCAGAAATGCTGTTTACTCTGTGTACATTCGTATTACATTTCATCTATTGTCATGCTAGAGGCCCATTGTAAATTAATTTGGCAGATAAATTTACGATGGCAATTTGCCTTCCAGTTGGATAATTTATTCATGTCAGAAATAATTTATTATATTCTCCCTTAAACCAATCTTTTTTTTTCTAGGGTACCACCTTAGTAAATAAAATTTATTGTTTACACTGAGCCTTGTGTGACTTCACAGTGGTCAGTCAATAACCTCAAGGGGATAGTTTTGGTCACATTACTGGTCACTTATTTGGATGGATGATGGAGTGCCCTGGTCCCATCTGTACATATATTACTTTCTTTTGTCTTAGGGGCACTGTTGGAAAGATTAATTAGGTCCATCTGCAGGGAAGGATCAGCCTTAGGGGATTCAGGTAAATAAAATAAATGCCAAGGGGAAAAAATGCTGAGGGGGGTGTTTTGAAAATCAAACTGTTTTCCATAACATCAATGGGGAAATTACATACAGAAGGAGATTGAAAGAAAAGTAAAACTGCCTTTAGTCTGGGTTATTTCAGCATGATCTGATAAACATCTCCTATTGCTGCTATGCTAAGATAAGGATCTATGAAGAGGGTTAAGTCCATGGGCAATATTCTCAGCTAATGTAAATCAGTATAGCTTTCTGATCTCAATAGAGCTACCTTCACTTTATAACAGTAAAGATTTGAGTCATGTCTGCCATAGTGATATTATATCTGTCCTTTGAGTGATTGGAGACATGCAGTAAAATGATCCTAATTCAAATTCTGTCCCCTCTTAATTTTTTTTTTCTTATAACAGTGCTATATTCTTCATGGATCTTACATCCCACCTCTATTTTCCTTTCCTTTAAGCTTCTTTCCATATTTTCTTCCTTATCTTTTTATTTCCCTTTCCTCCAAAAAGTTCAGCATGCAAATGAATCTAATAGCATTGAGCTAACTGATATGATCACAGCTTGTAAAATAGAAACTCAGCTCTTAAGGACTTTTATGTCATTATTATTATATGCATAATTAATTGGCGTAACTAGTACATAAACCATGTGAAATTTGTTGCCATTTAAGTTACATCTCACCCTGTTGCCTTATCAGGCTAAGTGGGGATTTATATTCCACAATGCAATGGGATTACAATCCACAATGTTTTCATAAAACATGAAATGGAAAAACAAAAAGACCATTTTTCTCACTGAGCTCTAGCTTTCTTAAGGGACTGGAATACAAGTGTTGTTTTGCTTTTAAACTTTTGCTGGAGTGAAGATAGGTTCCTTATGAGTTTGGCGTTCAACTCCTGCTGACTTTTAAGTTAATTAGTAAAGCCAGAGAAACGTGAGGGCATATTTTTGAGATAGGGAAAACATAAATGATTGATTTAAAAGGAAAGGGAAGAAGCATACAGGAAGGATACAAAGAAAAATGTAACTCAGAGGGCAAGGGGGGAATGGCTGTTGGTGATCAATTCAACTACTGTGTATACATGAAGAACTACTGGTGAGAGGGAAGACATTGGCTCTGGAAATGCACATGCCTGTCTCCTGCCTGTGCTAGCAACAGTGGCCTCTCAGAGAGGGACAATTCCTTCTGTGGTTGAACTTCGAGGTCTAATTCTAACAGTTGGTGAGTCCACGGTATGCAGTGCTTGAAGAAATCTGCCTGTATGTATAAATACAGTGTGAATATGTACACCTTGCCAGACAGAACCAATTAGACACCTTAGAGTGTATCTGGGGTTTTGTTTTAGAAACTGTACTGTATAGGTGGATCAGTACCTCATGGTCTTTAGATAAGAATATCATGTAAATAAAAATGTAATTTGATATCTATATATTTGGGATTAATAGCTCAATGTACTGCCACTGCAGAATAGAGCCTTTATTGCCGAAAGGCACTTGTTCCTTCTTGCTTGCCACAATTTCTAGATGAAGGGTATTCTGAAGGCTCTTTCCTGGTCTTCATGAAATAGGTCAATGGCCACAGTCGAACACCTAGAAAAGAAGTCCTACATCTTAGAAACACTCTCATAGCTAACATCTACCAGAATAGTTCTTGTTCATATCAGTGGTGCAGCAAATGAAATAATAGTTGTGGAACTTAACTGGCCCTTAAAATCTTCTGGGCCAATTTATTTTCTCAGGTAGAGATAGGTGGTTCCCATCTGGTTTATGCTGCACATACTTGTTATCATACATAGCTAAGGACTTTGGTGTGCAAGGAGTGAGCCATATCACTTCCACTGGGCTCCATGTATACATATTCTGCAGGATTCTGGAAGCAAGCCTGGATCATGGTAGTATGTTTTCAGTTGTGCAACTGAGGGACTGAGCAGAGATTTTCTTCACTGTTTCATAGCAATACACAGACGTGGTATGGGTTTGTTGGGCCTGCAGCCTTTTATTTGTAAGACTTGAACCTACCTACAATAGGGAATTTATTTGTCTGGCTGGCTTTTTTTTCCCCCAAGTGGGTTTTTTGTTTGTTTGTTTTGGAGTTCTTTGAGGTGACTGGAAATCTTGAAACAAAGTATTTCAGATGGGGATTAATTCTTTTGTCATTACTAAAAACTGAAAAATGCTTTGTGCTCTGGGTTTTTTTGGTGGTTTTTTTTTTAGAGAGACCCTGTTATTGAAAACAGATATTCCTCACTGAAATTTTCATTTCCTGGAAAAAAACACGTTTTCCATCAAAATATTTCAGTTAAAGACCTATGCCAGGTCTCCAGGGTGTCCTTCTGAAAAGACAGAAAAAAAAATCAGTAGAAAAAGAGTGACTAGTTCTGCTCTATGGTTCTTACTCAGGTAAAATTCTTCCTGGGATAAGAAATGAGAGCAAATTTCAGCATACAGGAATGGAGAATCCTGCCTAATGTATGGCTAAAGTAACTCCCAGATCTATACATTTTCCAGGAGTGAACACCTTTTATACATACCTCAGGTAACCAACTTGTTCATTTTACAGACTGAGTCTAACAAGAGAAGAATGGTTGTGAATGTACCATGAAGCTGGCTCAGCAAAGGTTTTCCTATAATTAAAATACATCTGGCTCTGTTCTGAGTGGGAAATCACACACCTCTGAATGTTTTGAGTATTTCCTTATGCACAACAGCAGCAGAAAAACTCCATATGCCTTAACCCATCAAACTCGGTTCCCCTTAATCATGTGGATAAAGGGGATGCGGTAAGGAACTTCAGTCTAGCCTCTTTGACATGAAACTGAGGGATTCAAAGCCAAGATGATAGAAATGGTCATGGAAAGTCTGAGAGGCACAGAGTGGCACTCAAATCTTTAGCACGCTGGTGTTAAATAAGTGCGAAATAGCTTGATGTGGTTCTCCGTAAAAGCTTGTGAGCACCACGGGCACTGCTCTTTCTGATGTAGTACAAATACCTTCCGGTTCCACAGCTATATCCTCCAATTGCCAAAAACACCACAGAGCAATGAGGGAGCGTGTGGCTGTGACTGTGGAACAGTATAGACGTTGTGGATGTCTTTGTCCATTGCCCTTCTCAAAGGGGCAGGCTCGGATCAGGGGGCAGTGACAGCTTCCTTACAACAGTCTCCTACCCTGGAAAGGGCTGTGCCCCCTGGCACTTTTTTGGCCCGGTGGTCGTCCAGATTAGCAGTGCTGGGGACAAGTTCGTTGGCATGTTGGGGGGCCTGTGCACACAGGGAGCCTGGGGGCAAGGGTGTGATGTATTCCTGTGCCTCGGCCCTGCTGTGGTGGGGGTCAATCCAGCGTGAGCCTGGAGAGGCTGCTCTTACTTGGGTTCTTGGGTTGCCCTCTCCCTTCCCTGCCTGCCTCTGGGGCCTTTCATCAAGTCCTCAGCGTCCACCCCAGCTACGGGACAAGGGACTCGCTCCTTCCTGGGAAGCCCCAGGAGGCAGCTGGCGGGCTGCAAGGCAGGGAGTGATGGATGGAGGACTGGAAGGATGGACGAACGGATGGATGGCTGGCGGGGCCATGGCTCGCGGGGGGGGGGACGG